ATAAGAGCGACCTACGCCGATTTCTGGGGCTCTGTGCGTATTACAGGGGCTTTGTCAAAAAGTTTTCAAAGATTGCTGAACCCCTCAACAAGCTTACAAAAGACGGTGTCTCGTTTGTTTGGGGTCCCGATCAGTGCCATGCGTTCGACACGCTCTGAAACCTTCTCCAGGCTTCGCCTGTACTGGGTCATTTTGACGAAAGCGCCGACACAGAATTACACACTGATGCCAGCAACGTTGGACTAGGAGCGGTATTAGTTCAGTAGCATAATGGCGTAGAGCGCGTGATCGCTTATGCGAGCAGAACGTTATTCCCAGCGGAGAAAAACTATTCTGCAACCGAAAAGGAAAGCTACGCTGTTGTCTGGGCCATAACAAAGTTTCGCCCATACTTGTATGGCCGCCCATTCAGGGTAGTTAGCGACCACCATTCCTTTTGTTGGCTCGCGAATCTCAAAGATCCCTCAGGTCGTCTAGCACAATGGAGCTTTTGGCTACAAGAATTCGATCTCACCATCGTCCACAAATCTGGGCGGAAACACACCGACGCCGACTGTCTCTCACGTGCACTGGTCGAAAATGCCAACACTGACCTTGAAGACGACGACACTTTTCTTTCTGCCGTATCAGCAACCCGCTTGGCTGAGCAACAGCGTCATGACTCACAGCTCATCCCGCTCATTGACTACCTGGAAGGACTCAATTCCCACTCTTCTCAAAGCTTTGCACGCTCGCTATCCTCCTTTTCTTTCCGCGATGGAGTGCTTTATAAAAAGAACTTTCATCCTACACAAGCTTATGTATCTGCTTGTTGCGCCAACTATGCTTCGTGGTGACATTTTACGTGCGTGTCATGATGAGCCATCGTCCGGACGCCTCGGCTATACGCGCACGCTGCAACGGATTCAACGCTGCTACTACTGGCCACGTCTCGCGAAGACTGTGAAGTACTACGTTCGCACATGTCGCGACTGTCAGCGACGTAAGATTCCACCTTTACGACCAGCGGGACTGCTGCAACCAATAGGCCTACCAAAGGCGCCCTTTCATCAGATTGGCATGGACTTGCTGGGGTCATTCCCCACGTCTTCGTCTAGAAACCGGTGTATTGTGGTCACTACTGACTACTTAACACGCTACTGTGAAACAAAGGCACTTCCAAAAGCCACCGCAGCAGACGTCACCCAATTTATCGTTAACAGTATCATCGTCTTACGTCACAATGTGCCAGCTGTCGTTATAACTGATCGTGGGACAGCTTTAACCCCAGAGATGCTGCAGGAAGTCTTGCGTGGCACGGAACATCGTAAAACAACGGCTTACCACCCGCAAGCAAACGGGCTGACTGAACGACTTAATAAGACAATTGCAGACATGCTGTCAGTGTATGTGGACATCGATCACAAGAACTGGGACACCATACTTCCTTACATAACTTTTGCGTAGAACACTGCTGTTCAAGAAAGTACCAGTTTCACACTTTTTCGTTTAGTCCACGTTCGCAACGTCACGATGATGCTTGACGCCATGCTCCTGCCCGGCAACTTAGGAATATACCACACGGATGCCGCCAAGTTCGCCCAGTGCGCAGAATTGGCCTGTAAACTTGCCCGTCACCGTATTCAATATCACCAAACAGCAGACGCACGCCGCTACAATCTTCATCACCGTGAAGTTATTTTCAAGCCTGGTGATGAAGGATGTGGACCCCTATCCGACAGCGTGGCCATTTGGAAAAGCTTTTTTGCCGCTACTTCGGCCCTTACAGGGTCGTACGACGTCTTGGCGACGTTACTTACGAGGTTCTCCCAGAAGGCACTTCGAGACGTTCCCGTTTCACCTCGCAAACTGAAGTCATTCACGTTTCACGGCTCAAACCATACTTTTCGCGCTGTGAATCACTAGTGAGTGACTGACTTTATTGGTAACTTTGCGTCTTTCTTTTTGTTTCGTCTTTTCCTTACATTCTTTCCTATGTTTCTTATTTCTCATTTCACGCTTGACTCCACAACCAACTACGTTATTCGGGCTTATGCCATTAATTTTGCTTGCATGGTAATTTTCGTCTAATTTTCTTTTTTTTTTTTTTGCCTTCATGTACAGCATCGAGACGGTGCTTCTTGGGAAGAGGGGGTAATGCCACCATTGATGAACGATCCACTGTGGCTCATACTCGTTTTGGGCTGCGAAGAAGAAGAGAACATTTTTCGTGGCTCTGTTTCAGGTGAACTCCTGGCTGTAGGTCTTGTTTTGCTCGTGACAATATATGTCAGCAGGTTACCACAAAATGCAGGCATTTTTACCCCAGCGTCGTAAAAACAATCATAAAGTAGCAGACAAACAGGTTACGCCACCAATGGTGAGCGGTTCAATGAGAGGGGCGCATGCGCTTCCAAAGAACCCTGCTATCTGAGCAGGTCAGGAGTACAGTAGGTCGTGCTTGGAACAGCGGCTAGCAGTTGTGCGTGTCGGTATTCGAAGATGCGATACCAAGCTCAGTAGGTATACATTTCGCACATCGTCACCGAATGCCACTGGCAAGTGCATCATGCGCCGGCTGCGCTGTCCATGCAGCCGCGCACTTCACGGTGATATGGAGGACTGTCAGTAAGCTTTTGTGATGCAATTTAGACGTGCTTGGAGCCCTGCTTGGTATCGCCACGAGCGTCTTTGAATGTTCTGAGACAATGAAAGCCTTGTAGATTAGCGTTTCCGTGGCCGACCGTATAATGATGCGTTTCACGGCTAGAGGGGCAAAAGAGCACGTATGAAGCAGGGGCATGAGTTTTTATAAGCCCGACTTGCGTCATTAAATAAACTTCAAAAAACAAAATTTTTGTGCCACCAGTTTTCTGCCCATAACTGTTAGTCATTTGGAAAGAAGGCATAGGCTGTCATGGTGCGAGCCATTTTTCTCATGCATTAAACTTTTCTTTATAAAAAAAATGTCCTGTGATTATTTTTAATCAAGACATACCTAATTATGCTAATGACAGCTTTAACGCAAAAAAAGTCTAATCATTTCAGTATATGGCCTTATTCAATTACAATCTATTCTGTCATTCCAATTATCACACCACTCTTTGATACAGATAACTTGGTTGGAGATCTATATTTGTTCTTTGTAAATAAAAAAAGAAGGTTATAAAAAAATATAGGCAACAAAGGCACACTGGGCAGAGGCCAGATGCACGAGAAGTCAAATATCACAAGACAAAGCTAAGATCACAATTTTTAGGTGTTTTAGAGACGTGAAGAGAAGGTGAAACTTCAAACGCAGTTTTCTCAATACTGTGTTTTCGGCATGCTCAGCTTGTGGAGCAGATATCTCGACAATCACTGCACAGATTTCGATTCTGTTTGCTTTCTAACGCTCTTTGAACTGTGCTTCAGAGGGCTGCGATCTTAGTTTTTCATTTTACTCCTTGAAGAATTTTTCATAGGATTTCTTGTTTGTAGTGCAAGTGTGCTCATTGCAGTGTCGCTGCGGAAAATGTTAACTACAAAAGTTAGTGTTCCAAAAAATTATTGTGCAAATGTAGCCCCCTTCAACATACATTTGGCTGTGCGTTCAGTAATTACCAACTATTTTTGTCATTTTATAAGTCCGCCAGCCCCTCCACGAGGTTAAATAAAGAAATAATTTGTATCTCATTAGGTTTCGTGCTATCACCTCGAAATTCTTGTGGAAGCACTGCGAGGTCATTTTTAGTGTCTGTGCCAATTTTCATTGACATTCAACCAGAAACAAGAAAGGTCGTTTCTTGTTTGCCGGAGAGTCCAACTCTCCAGCGGAAAGACCTAATTGCCAGAGAGGCCAACTCTGGTGATTTCTCGAGGTCAGTGGATCTCAATGAAATTCACTGGTACGTTCATTTGCATGTTTGCGCCATTCATGCCAAATGGCAGGCTTCAGAGTTTCGCATATTCTTTACAAATGAGTTTTTCAGCTTGCTTCGAAACTGTCACCTCGCTTGCCAGAATTATTGGCAACATTGTGTGTGTGACATTGAGTTTTGCCTGGCGGAAGTGACGAACTGATCCGCCACTGCAGCGTCTACTTGTCTGCTATTGATTGTGTTGGTTTGGCCAGCGCTTCCTTGGTTGAGCGTGTGATTTCCGTTTCCGCGTTGGTGGGCGTGCGATAGGTGCCAAGTGGTGTTGCATTGTGAGCCACACACGATTCGCCATATGTTCACCATAACAGCGCAAGCGTTTTAGTTGATCGCCGCGAACAGCGTGGATAGGTAGTGCCATCTGGTGGGCATTATGTGAAATCAGGCAGGCTCCGGCGGCATGAGGCAAATCTTTACGTCACTTGTAGAAGTGCACTTGGTTAGGTTTCGGTATTGCAGTTTTTTGGTAATTAAAAATTATTTTAAAATTTTTTTAGCATTTGAGTTATCGGGCACGTAAGAAGAGTGTCTAAGGAACATGAAAGCACCATTATCCTGACATGGTCATAAAATCGCCAGAGTTAGCTTTTAAGGGGAGGGAGGGGGTGAGATAATTGCTGTAGTGGTTGTTGGTGGTTGGTGGTTTGATAGCAAAAGCAATTGATTTGCAAAACGTTTTTTTGTTTAAATGTGTTTCTTGCATGGAAGTTTACAAGGATCATGGTATTATGATGCAGGCAACAGCGGCAACGCTACAAAAATAAATGGTTTCCGCGAGTGCATAAAAATTTCATTTGAGTCAACTGCCGCATCAAGTACTTCTTTGGCTGAGCCACTAATCAGGCAGGATTTGAAAGCGTATATTGAGACGCACTGCAGGTTTTCTTTGCCTATGCTAGGCAGTTCGTGATACTGCAGCTGGGGCTGGAAGACATAGATTGGCTGTTGCTCATGCATTTTGTTCAATTTCTGGGACACTTGTACATATACACTGTCAGATATTAATGGCTCTAATGAGATTCCAATGCAGAACAGCATGAGCAGGCTTGCGTTTTGATATAACTTCTTGTTTCTTTTTTCTTCCCCATTTTTGTGTTTTCTTAGGTGGTTCGTGTCTTCTACTACCTGTGTGTAGTGGCACTGCAGTACATCACACCATTGCTCACGTGCGCATTTACAGCTCTCCTGTTGAAAACTCTGGGTAAGTAGTCCGGTCTGTACCACCCACTATAGCACCAGAGGTTCTTTTTGTAGGAATGTTGTGAACTTGTCTACTTTTTTTTATTGTTATACAAACTTTATTATTTTGTCATTAGCCTACCAATGCATCATTTGTATTGTGCTTTTTACCATGTGAGGTAGTTTAATGGTGTGTGGGTGTACGGTTCAGCATGTGTAAGAGCTATGGACCTCGTTAAATAATTAACTTGTGAATAGATTCTTGCTAATCTTTACACACTTCAATGCCTTTGTTTATATGTGGAGTCTCAATGCCCTTCATATACCATCTGTTTGCCTTTCATTTGTTTTAGGTCATGCACATCAGTTATTGAGGGGTGGTAAAAACCTGGTCTGAAATTATATATATGTATATATATATATATATATATATATATATATATATATATATATAGGCAGGCATGGTGGTTGAGTGGCCGTAGCGTTGCATATAGTCCAGTAGATCCTCCGTGAGCGGTCACAACGTGGTTTATTTCGACGTTTCGGCCTAGAGTCTGGCCCTCATGAAGGCCAGACTCTAGGCCCTCATGAAGGCCAGACTCTAGGCCGAAACGTCGAAATAAACCACGTTGTGACCGCTCACGGAGGATCTACTGGACTATATATATGTATATATATATATGTGTGTGTGTGTGTGTGGGGGGGGGGGGAAACCATAGAGGGAAGAATATAGAAAACGCTCGAGCGGTTCGCGCGACCTGTTTATATATAAAATGAACGAGAAGAGACACGACATAGGAGTTGTCGTAATTTTATTTCCAACAGTTTTGACCATTCTCGTACGTATGGACGATTAGATGAACTTCCTCAGTATATATATATGTAAATATATATATATATATATATTGTCACGTTACACCGTAACTGTAACCTGTAGATAATGGCACACAAGGACTTCAAACTGATTCGAACAACGGTAGTATGACTATTGTTTTTCTCTGAACGCGCATCTTTGTCCTCTTCTGAACAGCGGCACATACAAGCATGCCAGCATCTGTGGAAATAATACTTTCAGAACTTGTACTAGTGGCAATATATATATACATATATATATATTTATATACATACATACCGTATTTACTCGCATAATTTGCACACATTTTTTTTGCAATTTTGGGGCTTTGAGAAGAGGGTGCGCTAATGACACGGGGATTTGGTGAACGCATACAAGATTTGTGCAATAGTCCTAACGCGTACAGTAAGAACTTTAAGAAGTTAATAACTTGGAGCATGAACAAAGTGCACTTGTTTATTTAAAAGAATTAACACGCACTTAAACCAGTCAGATCTGGCCAAGCACGGTCTTGTCGTAATCACTGATCAAGAGGCCGAATTGAAAATCAGTGTGGCGGCCGCTGTCACTGCCCTCCCAAAGAGCATCACCGTCGGTTCTGTTTAGAGCGTTCGAATGTCCCATTTTCTTGAAGCTCTTCTCGACAATGCTGGTAGGTCCCAAGACACAGCTATACCGGAGAGCCTAAGCTTTCGCACATAACTGAAAAGGCCTTCAGCAGACAGGAAACTTGTATTAGCAAGCGCGAACTCTTCTGGTTTCTCCTGTAACAGTCGCTCCGATCGTCACATGTTAAAGCACTTCACGCTGAAGTGGCCCCGCCACGGTGGTGTAGTGGCTAAGGTACTCGGCTGCTGACCCGCAGGTCGCGGGATCAAATCCCGGCTGTGGCGGCTGCATTTCCGATGGAGGCGGAAATGTTGTAGTCCCGTGTACTCAGATTTGGGTGCACGTTAAAGAACCCCAGGTGGGTCTAAATTCCCGGAGCCCTCCACTACGGCATCTCTCATAATCATATAGTGGTTTTAGGACGTTAAACCCCAGAAATCAATAAAATCAATCAATTCACGCTTAAGTGCTCGGCGGTGGCACGATTCTCGTTTTCTTCGCGAAATTTTATAATAGTGAGCTAGAATTTTGTCATATGTATAATTAGTGTAGATATCACAAGGGAACAATAAAAATGCGGTGGACGGATGGCGAAACTTAAACTTCCGAAATCAACCAAGCGTGCATTGCAGTGCCAGTGTGAATGCAGACACGAGAGGAACAGTTTGCATGGCAGGCCCTCGCAAGCCTCCGGTGCCGAAAGTTATCCGTGCCGTGACGCAAACGGGTATGCCCACAGTGGTAGAGATTGTGAGATAGAAGTGGGGAAACCATGGAGGAAAGAATAGGGAAAACGCTCAAGTGGTTCCGGCGACTTATCAGCGTAGACCCCTCAATAGATTCGAGTTTTTGGGTATGGCATTCTGGTAACCCTAGTTCGGGGGAAGTCCTCGGAAGAAGGGACTTTGCACTCGCAGCCCGTTAAACTGCACTCGCCTGATCAGCGGGGGTGCCGTCCCAACGTGCCCATCCAAAGAATCGAAAGGTTCAAAGTTTTGGTCCGCGCGTCGGCGAGCTGGCTTGGACGGGTCGAGAAATGCAAAATATGCGCATAAATATTTTTTTCGTAAAGCTGACAATAAATTATACGAGTAAATATGGCATATATATACATATATATATGACATATAACAGACTATAATGCCAAGGAAAGTATAGGGGAAGGTATTGGACCGAATTGTAATGTAAATGTGAAGAAAGAAAAGTGGATGAAAAAATAACTTGCCGTGGGCAGGAACCGAACCTGAAACCTTCGAATAAGGCGTTCGATGCTCTACCACTGAGCTACCACGGCGGCTATCCTCCCAGCCACTTTATTGGGTATAACTATATGCAAATTTAAATGTGGCAGTGTCAGTCAGCGCCCTCAGTAGCCTTGGCGGTGAGTGTGGCACACTCTTTATGAGCCTGTGTGGCGTCACGTAGCACGTGAACTTATTATGTATTAAGTTTTTTTTTCACATTTACATTACGATTCAGTCTAATAACTTCCCCTATACTTTCCTTGTCATTATTGTCTGTTAGATCTCATTAATATTGTGTCAAAACACGGAAAAACGAGCCTTTAAATATACACAAGCCCTTACTCAAACACACACACGCACGCACACACACAAACACACACACACACACACACGCACACACACACACACACACACACACACACACACACACACACACACACACACACACACACACACATATATATTGTGGGAATTGAGGCTGGCCCGCTGCCTTTGCGAGGGCTTTCCCGCCTTTTCGGCCATTCTCATGTCCCAACATGTCTGCCCTCCTTTGCTGTCTGCCGTGATGGGAAGGGCGGAGTGACGTTTAACTCCCTCACCCGGTAGCGGATGTTGACTGTGGCGCCGCACGGGGAGCCTCCCGAGAGGTTTTCGCGCGCTGCGTCGGGAGCAGTAGATACTCTCCGGGACAGCAAACGGTGAGCCACGCAATCTTTCCCGTCCGTCGACTCCCGTCAGTCGGGGGCTCGTCGGGCTTCGCTGACGGCGCCTCGCGCCCAAGGCGAACGCTCACCTGTTGTTGCCCCCCGCTGCGTACGCACGGCTGAAAGGCGGTACGGTGTCCTAGTGCGGGGCCTAGCTACGCCGACCCGTCTCCCTCCGAAGCCAACGCGAGCGCCTTTGCCCTCGCTCGAGCAACCGGGCCCTTTGTCCCGGTGTCTCCGTGGATCACCTTTACCGCGGAGACGTGCTCGTGGCACCCTGTGTAGTACTTTGTGCCCGTGGCGTGGATAAGCCTACTTGCTTTCCCGCCGCGCCTTTTTGCAACGGGCTGTACTGTGTTTGGTGTTGCCACAATAAAGTGTTGCGACTTTGAGCAGTACTGTGTTCTCGCCACGGCGACGGTTAACGCGTGCCCTGCGGCTCGCTAAGACCGAACCCACGCTGGTGGCCGTACTCCTTCGGGATACGTGTACACCACAATATATATATATATATATATATATATATATATATATATATATATATATATATATACATATACACACACACACGCACACAACAAACATTCTAGCGCCGTTACTCTGACATTTCGTACCCAGACGAGTGCTGATCTGGAGACTGTGTGGGGCCTAGATGAAAGAGCCGAAATGTCACAGTAAACGGTGCTAAAACAATGTTAGTGTGTCAGATACCTTCTTTCCTACAGTATCAGAGCCTGCGTAATACTTCCTACAGACTATATATATATATATATATATATATATATATATATATATATATATTGGTGATGATTAATTAGCCTGAGTGCATTGTTATGGATTGGAAGATTTTATCCACCCACTCATTACACAATTTAGATGGTGGTATGGCGAGCATGCTTCTATGCTTTCTTAATGCTATATTGCATCTGTTAAAAGGGCCCTGCTACACTTTTTGAGCATGGTCGAGAAACGCTGCCAATTGGTAATAGACGCTCCCGAGAACATGCGAGCCAAATGTTATAGTGCAGCACGGGGCCTTTAATTCACAATAAATTATCAAGGTCAGCTAAAAATTGCTTTCTCTTCTCACGACAGATGACAGAAGACGCTCAAAAATCATACGCAGCAAGCCATCTATCAGCCATTGGCTGATTTGAACATGGCGCGCTCGGTCGTTACTAAGATCGCCGCTGGAGGCCGCAGCTTGTCCACGCGTGCGCGCACAATCACACCGAAGAAGTTGCATATTCCTAGGAAAAAAAGAAAAAAAGTGCTCAAGATCAAGAGGCGCGTGACATTTTTGTTTGCCCATGCTATCTCTTCTGCTTAGCTTCCAATGCTATCGTTGGGACGATAGAAGAGAGAATACAATTGCAGCTTGCGAGAAATCTTTGTAACTCCAATTGCACTGGACAGGTTTTTGAAATTTTTGGGGCATCGAATTCGTGAGGCAATAAGCTCTTCAAGTGAATTCATTCATCATTTCTTGAAAAAATGTTTCAGAGCCCTTTTAAAGGGAGATGCGATTCAAAAAAGAAAGTTTCATGAATGTGCAGGCTAAAGCAATGAAAATGTTTTGCTGAATATATAGGCTTTTATGCTGATGTCAAATACGTAATTCGTTTTGTGGTAAGTTACACAGTTTTTGTTTTGTGCCATGCACAATGTGTAGAATATAGTTGGTTCTGGACAAACTTTTTATGCTATTAAACTCTTATGCTTTTGAGCCATCAATAGATCATATTTCTCCTCATTACTGTAATGGAAATAACTAACGAGAAAGTGCATATAAAAAATTTTAGTAGACAAGTAAAATTGTAATGGGAGAATTTTTTGAATTTACAGCCCATAATAATTGCTTAATGTGTCATCGTAATAGTTATACAGGCCATATCAAGTTATAAAAGAAATACTTGCACCCTTGACATGTTGAGGAATATCTGGGCGAAATTTCATCTTTATGTGGCTATCAGAAGTATGAAAAAATGCCTCTACCTCCCGAAAGGTAATCGTGAGGAAATGCGAACGCATTGCGTAGAGTCCATAGCGGCGTTTCACACGTAAGAACCCAGCGTTAGAATAATATATATAATTTTTTGACACTGTGCAGCCAATAGTGCTGTTCGTCGCACGTGGTGTTTTTCTGTCGCGAAAAACGCGGTATGCGTTTCCAGCTCTAGTAGCTAGCGTGCACGGTTAAAAAATATAATACCGCAAGAGACGTGGTATGTGTTTCCAACTCTAGTAGCTAGCGCGCATAGTTAAAAATACTATGAAGTGAACAAAACAAACAGCGTTCTCGGCTCGGCATTGGCGTTTCACAGCGGCGTCTCGAGCACACATTTCTGGATGTTCTGGAGAGGCTCCCAGCCAGCGAACGGTCTAGAGTGAGGCGCAAACGGATGAGAAAGTGAAACGCATGGAGGAGAGAGCGAACGGCGAGAGAAGGAGCGGCAAAGCACTGCACCTACCCTCTCCTATGCTCTCTCGCGCCACATGCTTCGGTTGCTAGGGGTGAGGATAAGTGCACGCACCGGCAGCTGCTGCTGACAGCTCTCGAGGCTGAAGCGTGTAATAATGGGGCTCCGGTTGCTAGGGACGCGCGCGCGCCCGCAGCTGTTGCTATAGGAAAGGGAGGTGGACTGATCCCGACGAACGCCTGACATAGCCCGACTAAGAAATGCATTCGTATTCAAAGCATGATGTTTAATTTCAAGAAGTTGCCCGAAAATTAGTTTTGAGGTAAAAGAGTTTTAGAGGTATAAGTCAGAGCTCACCTATGCAATAACAATAAGTTTTGATTGCGAAGCATTTCTTAGTTGCATCATGTCACTCGTCGTCGGTGTCCACACCTCCACTGCGCTTGCTCGCGCCTTGCTTGTCGTGCCACATGCTTGCGTCTCGTGCCAACTATTTGCTCCCCCTTCTCTCGCCTCGCAAGACCAACGGAGGCAGCGTCTGCTAGTAAAAACAGACTGCTCGAGCTACACAACCGTTCACTGGCCACTAGATCGCACATCAGCGTCCCACCACTCGTTGAAGGCAACGCTTCTCCTTCATTTCATAAATAAGAATAATAAAGACGAAACAACAATTAGGTATTCTAAACCATCTCTTGCCTTGCAAGACTGATGCAGGCAGCATCTGCTAGTGAAAACGGACTGCTCGAGCTGCACAATCGTTCACTGGCCACCCCGTATATGTAGGCACTGGATCGTTCATGAGCGCCCCACCACTCGTTGCAGGCAACACTTATCTTTCATTCAATAAATAAGAATAATAACGACAAAATAGCCATTAAGCGCTGTCTAACCATACCCAGTTATACAACATTTACACAATACCCCCCTCCCCCCACTTTGCAACGCATTTACTCGAGTTCATCTTGTGAGAAGGCGCCGGTGGCATTTTTTTTCTCAAATGATTTCTTTCATCATGAGAGCTTGGCAATCATTGTTATTTTGAGCATGTGGCTTTAGTGTTAGTGAACTCTTCATGCGAAATGCAATGGCAAGCCTGCCAGGTGATGATTTCTTGAGGATTCTAAGACAGTGGGCTTTTTTTTGCTTTTGGTATCCACCTTCTGCTCTCTAAAAGTGATTTTAATTTACTTTGAGTTTAATTACAATCTTCTGTTTTTTTTCTTGTTCCGAAAGTGAATAAACCAAACTTGAGAAAGCAAATAAAAATGAAAAATAATTATTTTAGAAAAAACTTGTCTTTTTCGACTCGCATCTTTCTTTAAGGCCAAACCCCATAACGTCGAAACTGCACACGACAGCTATGAGTGTCGTGACGGGTAGAATGCCTTCGCATGATCAGTCACTTGCGCAGGCAAACCTCATTCACGCAACAGCATCAGCGAGCGAACTCCACTGTTGCTGGCATGAGGACGTCTATTCGTACCGAAAATGCTTTGTAGTTGGTGGTATGCTATATAAAAATAAAATGTGTTGTTGCATAATAGAAAGAAAGGTGTTAATTATTGCTTTGCAGCACTTATTTTATAGATGCATGTCCATAAACATTGTTATTTCTTCGATGTGCACACGTGACTCAGATGGAGAGGAGATCGTGGTTTTGCGGCACATGGGCACAACCGGCAGTACGTCAGTTATGTATATACTGTTCTGGTGCTTTGAGCACAGCACTTCTGGGGGGCGATGGTTTCCAAATCGGAAAAACTGAGCGATTGTGCAAGAACAACCAAGCGACAGGTCGCGTGAAGGCCCAGTTTCGTCGGTTATAGCGTCGCTCGTCACTGTCTTGTGCATTTCCGCGCTTACGGGTTTCGGCCTTGAATGTGACTCTTGACACAACATGTTGATCGTATAGGGTCTTTTTTTGAAGTTGTTTGAAGCACTGGTGTTGCTATAAAATAGAATACTTGGCTGCAGTGCTGAATGCCTGCGTTTAATCTGGCTCGAACACAGATTTGTATTCTTCGCATATATCAAGCTTTTTTGCTCGCAGCCAACAGTTCATGGATGCTGCATTTTCTGCAATACAGTATATTTAATGCTACTGTGTCAATAATAATCAATATCCTTGTATTGTCAGAGCCAATTGCCTGCAATAATCATCCCAACCATATTGGACCTATTGATGCGTCTTGTCCAATCGAACTGTCACGGAATGAACTGTCCGAAGGGGCTCTGTACGTTTAATTGTGACAAAACAGACATGGATAACTAACGCACCATTGTGTACGATAACCAAGGAAAGTAAATCACTACATCGAGAGCAGCTATAAGGTGTGCTAGGTGGTGTTCATTCATCTTTAAAGGTATGCTTTGTTCACACAGATACCTAATAGAACGAATAAAATACAGGACATATGAGGCTGAGCTGCACAATGTCGAGTGTCTTGTAATTTATCAGTTCTGTACTGTATCTGTGTTAACTAACTGCATTTCTGGAGATAAATTATTATATACTGTTGCTGTATCAAAGCCACTAAGATATTGCTCTAATGATACTGTCATTTTAAATGCACATGCCTTGTAATAAAGATAAGAAATGTAATTTTTCGTCAGGTGAGATATTTTTACTATGAGGGGCTGTGTCTCAGGATATTTACTGCAATACGATTTCGCTGCTCGTTTTATTAATTCAGGCGGCCACAGTTGGATGGCCTACCTGTGGTCACCGGCCAGTCCTGCTGTTCCTCTCCAGCACAACAGGGTCCCCGGAGTGCCGCTGGGAGGGACTTCTCCAGAATCAATCCTGGCAACCAGCCAACAGTTCTCGCTAACGCTGGCCGGACTCCGAGCAATCTTCACGCCGGTGTTATTTCGCGGTGTCCTCAGCTTCATGACCTGGTGGTTGTGTGCCACATCTTTTGCCACCAGTGTCGTTGGACTCGTGTACCACTCGTACACCTCCTAGGTTCAAGTCATTGAACAGTAGCGCTATTATGCACAGGATTTTTTTTTACGACAATACTGTGTGCGTCCGAGGCACTTCGTGAGGCATGATATGTCCATGTGGTAGTAGGTTAAATGGCAGCTCCTCTTTTGAATCCATTTAGAGTACTAATACTACCACTTGGTTTCGAGCGCTTGTGGGAGCTGGAGACTGGTTTCATTCTGCTTCTGCTTACATCTCATATGCAGAAGGTTGAATGGGCAGCCGACCCAGTTGCCTGCCATGATTGCCAGGAAACTAACATTATGCCAAGTGTACCTCTCTCATTAGATAGTATTTCATTTGTGAGCGCATCAACAAACGCTGATTTTCTGTGCTAGAAGTGAAGCTCATGCATGCCGATGAGAAGGAAGTCTTTGAATGCAAACCCTTGGTGAAGTGGGGTATGCTGCATTGAAAGGAGCTTTGTCCCTATTTTACATTTCGATATCGTGTAGATGTGAATTATCATTCTCCACTGTGTACAGAGAAACACAGAGCGGGCATTTTATAACACAGCATTTCTACGGTCTGAACACATTATCAATTGGATTAGCAGGGCTCTCATAGGGGTATTGAGCTAGTTTATGAAGTGTATATGTTGTGGTACTCAGAAGCCCTCTGCCTAGCACTTTTGGGCTCCTTTCTCACATGGAATGTTTGTTTAGCTCCGTTACAGAGAGTGTGTTGATATCTCACTAACAATCCCTCATCATAGCACTTCATACTTTTCCTGTTAATGTCAGTTATCGCGCTGCCTCCCACTCTTATTTTAGTTGACTAGGTTTACGTTCTGCAGGCAGTGACATAATGAAAAGAGCAAGGGCCAAGCACAGCTCATGGCTGCCAATATAACATCGCCACTCTGACAGCTATCGTACAACGGTATTTTTCTTGTTCGGTGTCCCAGTTAACTGTTCAGTTATATTGGCTGCCAACATAACATCCCCACACTGACAGCTAACGTACAACGGCATTTTTCTTGTTCGATGTCCCAGTTAACTGTTCAGTTATATTGGGTGCTTCTCAGCAAATTAAGTTAGTGTCAACCACGAGTGATTCTATGGCTCACCACGATGCGTCCACAAGGCATGCTGACTGTTTAACAAAGATATTTGGCCTTACTGTATCATTCATCGTCTTGCCTTCGCTCAAGCATATTGTTAGTGTTGATATCATGTAATCATAATTGATTTTTCACGGGCATACTGTTGTATTTTATGTGCTTTTAAAAGGACAACTTTCAGTGGATGACATGACGCAACGGGGGTAAATTTGGGAACAAAGAATGTGGTTGAGCTCTATAGAAGCTAGAACGTGGCCAGGCAAATGTGTGTTGCATTATTGATATTTGTGTTAAGGCTGTTTCAGCTATGCACAAACATAAGTTTTAGATGCATCTTGTTCAGAAAGCATACTTCATACTTTGGAGGAGGTTGAAACAACATGACATGCAAAACGTAGTTTTGCACCTAGCATGAAAGTGACAATAATGCAGCCAGTGCCGTAAACGTATGCTTGGATGAACGAAGGCATAGCTGTCTATATGGATCACTAAGGCTTCATTTTGATACAGGCCATCAAACTGTGTGTGAACTTATGGAGAGTTTTTACAAAGCTTATCAACTCCTTTTGCGTGTGTGCATGGTGAACGTACACTGGTAAGCACCACACAAATTTTTTTTCATGTTCGTTGTTTTTGTATACATTTAACGTCGGCAGTATTCTAAATGTGGGTACTATAGACACTGGTTCTTGTTTGCTCACTGTATCATTCATAGGCCACCGTAGTAACTTATTGGTTTGTAGACAAGCTCCTTCAGGCAGTTGGTGAAAATCACGAGATTAAGTCTATGCAACTACTAGTCTGTTATTATATAGCCTTTGTAAGTGTCAAAACGGGGTCTCACTTCACCAAACTGTACTTACGTAACCACATGTGATAGGCATCATCTTCCACAATCAACGTAGTCACTTGTGTGCCTTTATCCAAAGCTGACGGATATGTGCAGCATGTTGTGAAATGGTGCAGGTGTTGTTTGCCAGTGTATGAAATGTTTTCCATAAACAAAGCACTTCGCATTTGGGTTTTGTCTACTTGGATACGTGAGCATTATAGTCTTGTCATCAATGTAGCCAGCACTGATGACTTACCAGTAGCTGTACAAACAAGGTATGCACGGACACTAAACAAAGCGCATCACGACGCTTGTGCAGACATCAAGTGGAGTGTTGGCTGCAAGAACTTTTTCGAAAACGTAGACAATTTTTGAAGTGGCGAGTTACCTCCATATTGGGAACATTCTGGTATGTACATATACATTGAGTTTAAGTTATTATAGTAAAGTCTCACCCATGATGCAATTATTTCCATTAGATTCATTGTTCATCATAAGCATATATATTCATATCAGCAAGAAATACTGAAGATTGACATTGTTACAACTCATAATCAGTAATACCATACATCTGTTTGTTATAAAGTTGATCTGACATTGAAACCTATCAGTAAAACAGAATAACCACACGGTAGGTCATTTTAGTAGGCATTGAATGCTTTTCGATTAATATGTGATCTGCTAACTAGTAAAAGCGCATACATTACACTGTTGCCAATGTCGAAATGCGTAGTAAGTGCGTAGCTGAGAAAAAATCAGGCATCTGAAAAATAAATCGGTAACCATATTTTAGTAGTACTTTGTTTCGACCCGAATAGAGTAGCACATATATGTAAAGTTGTGTGCTAAAAAGGTTTGTTTTGTTTTGCTACAGGTAATAACACAAGCTTTGCTACAGTTAATGACATGAGTTGAATCTGGCATTCTTATTGTTGCTAATATAAACTGGAAATTAAATTTATTAAAGTACGACCGACAAAATACATGCATTCTAGTTGTTATATCCAGTAATTGGGTTTCATCGCTACTTAAAAGCATCTACATGTACATAACAAATTGGTGTCTTCATTCTGAATGTGCTGAAGAAAGAGTAGTAAGACAAAAGTAAGTTGATATTATGAGCATTCTTGTGTTTAATGGGTAGTCATAAGCCACGTCAAGAGGAGTCTTCATGTGTCAAATCCGCATTTTTGGAGATCTCGGGTAGTGCGAAGTGCCTGATGTCACATGCAATGCTCCAGCGCACCAGGTGTAGCGTGGAGCAGTACCTAGTTGGTCAATAATATCATGAAATAAACACCGCAGAAAACAGTACAAAGACAAGATGCACTGTCTCTCCTCCTACGTTGTCTTGTCGGCTGCAGCCGCAGTAGACTGCTGTGCATCCTACACTGTCCAGCTGGGGGCCCTGCTTCATCTCTGCAAGTGAAAGTTTGGGCTGCAGAAACCGAAGCAAAGTAATTTTGTTGAAAATCACATCTCCACATAGTGAATGACGATGAGTGGGCAAAGCAGCGGAATCGTTCGGTTTCACCGCAAATCGCCAATGACATACTCATGCCTCTCATTAACATACTCCCGCATGTTAATGAGTGACAAAGCGGTGTACGGTCATATGTGTTTATTGGTCATAAATTGTATATATGTTCCGTTGAGTGTCGCATCTCGTTTTGCCTTCATATTATTACTGCTTCGTTGTCCCTGAAATGTATTCAGTGGTAATTCTATCCGCTCGAGCCTGAGGTTGGCAAAGATGAGGTCTATGCACATTTCCTTGGAGGTAGTAGGTTGTTTCCAGTCATACAAAATGCATCGTGCAGTGTATTGAGATGCCGTATACTGCTAAAGCCAGTGGTCAATGATGTCAACTGTTGATGTCTCCGAGAAGTACGAAGGGGTTGTTCTTGCTTCGTTTCATAATCACACATGATCAGGTCAATGTGCTTTTCTACATTGCCTCGGTACAGATTTGGAGCCAAATACACTGTCAGTGGCGACAATTCCATCAAATAGGTTTATTGCAGTGTGTTCGCCATTGTTGGATTGGTCATCTTTGGTCTGGTAATTTACTGTATATGCTAACACCTGGACGAAGATCCATTTTTTTTTTCAGTCTTCGTGCATGCCAGGTTTTGGTAAAGCAAAGGACATCTGCTTTATTTAGTATGGGTGCTCGATGTCGTCTGCATGGGTATCAAAGGAGGAAGTGTTTAGCGACGTCAACGTAAACTGTGTCGTTGGGTCTTGTTGAAAGGCTCTTAGGTACCGTTGTGTCAGTGTCGGCAATATGTGTTGCTCAAGACGTTTAAACTCATCCGCCATGTTTTTGCCCGCGTTGCTATCTCTGTGGTAGAAACGAGTATTTCTCTCGGAATCGGTAAGGTAAAGGTTGTTTACAATAATGCAACAACTGAGAGCTATGTGCAGCAACTTTCGCAGGTGATTTTTATTATACTTATAGGCAATAGACGAGTACGCCCCTCCTTGTGATTTGTGCACGGTTACTACACTCACTTGATCCAATGGAAATTGCTGTTGTCTGCCCGCAGCATCTGTCTTGTAATCTAACATTTCGCTGGCCACACGAGATTCAGTGGGGATCCACGTGGAGTCCACATCATTTCCATTTAGTTTAGCCTCGCTTGTCATTCATCATCAATCTTGAACAAGTGGTGTAGCCCTTTATCCCGAATTTCAATTTTTTTTTGCCACGGTATATAGACAAAATGGCACCCGACTACATCCAGCAGCCTGCTCGGCGCTCACTCTAAATAAATGCCCTCAATAAAAATTTCTCCTTGCACCCCTGTCTTGAACGAAGAAGAGTGAGCTTTCCCGTTGTTGGTACATCAAATTGCAACCACGGCCGTTACTGGAACTCGTGACCAACCCCTCGCTCGCACATTTTGATGATTCCCGCCCTCTTAACTGCAAGTCCGCTTGGAAGTTTTTGCTGTTTTAGCGCCACTTCCCACGCTTTACGTTCGTTCTCAACCATGGCAGAATGAGAATGTTCCATGGTCGTCATCGTGTACCTCGCGTTATGATGATGCCTCAAACATAGCTCATTCACACACAGGAGGTTGGTTGGTTGACCCTTATATGCCTGGCGAAACCTACTACGGTGGATTGGCTGTGAAGCGGACGATACCTTATCTTATAAATAAAGTTGTTTTACCAGCTGAATATGTTTAGATAGGGATGGTTTTTTTTAAGCAAAGAAGGAATAGGTAAAACATGAGTTAAAAATAGAATAAATAAAGTGAAGAAAGAAAGCCCAATAAGCTAATAGGGTTGAAAATAGAGTGAATTTAGGCATAAGCTTAACATTCTATTCGTCTTGTTTCTCTCGGGAAATCGCATACAGCTTCGCAAACGTTCCTGTGGCTAAATACCTTTTCAGTTGCTCCGAAGGAAAGGACCACCGGAAGGGATAAGTTTAAAGCCAACATACAGAAGACGTTCTTCTAGCAGTCTTTTTATTTTATTGGCAAGTAACTTGCATGTTAAGAGGAAATGATGCAGAGATTCATTCTCGTTGCAGTGAAGGCGTAAGGGTGAATGTAACAGACCAGGCCTGTGTAGGCAATGATTCAGTGGGTGGACTCGGCATCGTAGTCTCGATATTTCCGCCCTTTTAAATGTCTTCTGTGTATGTATGACTTTTTCAGAAATGAAATTCTCTTAAACAAGGAGCAACATCGATTCCAAGGGTACTTGAGAAAACTCAAGGGGGATGCCAAGTGAGACTTTTCAAAGCTATCCAATTTGGCGAATTTTTCAAATCATGTCAAGGCGATAAATGCTAGCATCGGCAATAAAGAAATTATGGTACAATTTTGTGAGGCCACTGCAAGTGCATTTGCATATTCTTTGACGGTTATTATACCAATTGAATGAGCCGTAAATGTCTTGGGGCAAGGGCATGAAACACTTCTAAAGAATTCGCCATATTCGGTGTAGTTAATAAAGAACAGACATACAAGCAGTCCAGTCCCAGTTGAAAAATTTCCCCAGACCAATTGGAAGTTTTCAGATGAATCCAATTGGAACCAATTAGAAATTTCCAATTGTGTTTTGGGACACCAATTGGTCAATTCCAATGGGTCATCCCGTTAGGTTTGAATGGGCTTGATTAACAAAGCCAATTTGTGACACAATATTCAAATGGATTGACCAATTAGGCTAGCAGGTGAACCCAATTCGCCCATTGGAAAGAACATACGAGTTCTGTTTGGATTTATTACTTGTTTCAATGGGTCTCTGAATTAAAGGTCTCACCTGATAATCTCGATGCATCCAAATTAAGAAACCATGTTGTTGGATTGCACTTAGCATTAATGAAGGCTACCGTGAGTTTAGAAAAAAGTGGTTAATGATTTAGAGTACTCGGTACTCTACTATGGGAGAGCTCAAGGCCGTCCCTCAAGGCACCCGGTATGGAATCTAAAGACGTGGGTAAACTGCAGCCTGTCGATGCACTTCAAACGAAAAATTTCTCCACATCTATATGTCCCGCTCATATCTCTAAACATGACCTCCCTCAACATGTCAGTATTTTAGCCTAGTAAGTTGTGCCAGGTCCCAAAAACCATTCGGTAATTTTTGTGGCCGACTGTAATGTCAACAGATGAAATAAATGACGATCCTTGGAGACCATATTAAAATGCAAGGATATTTTATTTCAGGAGTAATGGTGTAAGGTGTAATATCAAACATGTTTAAATGAACTATTTTCTTGTTTTTCATTTTTGTGATGTCCAGTAGAAAGCAATCAGTAAAGTCCAATTGGAATCGTTGACTAGAACGTCTGTAAGAATGACAACAACTGTTATAAATAGAGGCGATTTCCGTAATGCTAAGACACTTGATAATTAGGAGTAAAATCAGGCAAACGAATTGAAAAAGACAATGCTGAAGCTGCAATTCCCACTCCTGCTTTTTTTGTCACAAACTGAAGCATCAGTTGCTTTTACAAGTTCATTTTCAATTTGTCTTCGACACACTTTTCCTTCTTCTATTTTCGTTCCACTGCATAGGTATATATGAGTGGTTTCACGAATAAAATTTTTGTGGTGAGTCAGCACTCTGAATGTGTCCTTCTTTGTCTGGTTTCACGTTTTTTTTTTTTTGCGTCGTTTTCTTTCAATATTTCCTTAGTACGAGTACTTCACGAAGGTTTACTAGCAATGTTTCCAAGTACGACGATGATTCTTGGGCTCCTTAATCTATACAACTGATGGTTAGAAAAGGCCGTCTGCTCCTTAATGAAAATATACCGCGAAGTCCTCTGTGTAGATGCGTATATTTTTAGAAAGCTGCGATCTGTTAGTATTTGGAACCTTGTAAGAAGGCAGATGCGCTACTTTATATAAAATATTATATGCAACAAACACAGGAGGATTGGTCAAGAGTTTGCTGACGTGCTTCTTTTTCATCACCATCTGCGCCATCGCTGCAGCCAGACAATGAAAAGCGCACAAGCCTAGACTCGAATGTGTCTCGTGCCTAATACAGGTCATGGGGTAAATGTGGACCTCCCGTGCTCCACGCCCTTCATGACGACTCGGTGGTTGAAGCTGAAGATAGTCCACAACTTGGTGGCTTCAAGCACTACGCTTCTTCGACCGCAGTCGCATATGTGGATGCCGTAGAATATATTCACACCGTCTGGCCTTAGCGATCAGGTAATGCCCACAAACTACTTTGTTGCGCCATTTTCGACCAAGTGCCCCAACTAGTCGAAGCGTAAGAAGATGCAATTGCTCAATAGCTTACACCCAGA